AGGACAGCGGTCCAGAGTTTCAGCTCTTCCAAAAGCAGAGGTCCTCTTAGTACTAACAAACACCGTGTACGAACATGACCTTCTCTTGCACCGAAAACCTGGTTCAAGAGCAATGGACCCAGCCATATAGCCCCTTTTATACTTAAGGCCAAGTGGGCTATAGGGTAGAACATCTAGAATAAAGCAGTTCCCTTGGGGTTTTTGTACAGCAGTGCCAGCTGCAAGGGAAGTGGCTGAAGAGGCTGGGACATGCCCAAAGGACTGCTGCACTACTTTGGCTGTTCCCACCTGGGCCTTTAGAAGCCAGGCATGTATTTGAGCTGCCCTGTTTCATCAATGGGATCATCCCCTGAATACAGAGAGGGGCAAAGGCAGAGGTGTCCCCCCTCTCTAGTTTCAGTACCAAGTGCAGCTTGGCCATAACTGAGAATCCAGTCCCATGAATTGGAACTTTACCAAGTGTGTGCCTTTGTACCTCTCAGTCTTCCTTCTGTCGTCTCATTAGGAGAGAAAAAGACATTTATCATTCCTATTCTTGTGTTGCCACATTTGTTAATTGATAAGGATTAGGTGTGTTTAAGGTCTTTCACCTGGGAACCTGCTTACCTCCCTCTGTTATTTCCTACAGACACTTCCAAGACACCTGCTGGTGGTAAGGACAAAGCTTCCAGCTCTGAGGGAGGTTCGGCACTAGAACAGACTGGTTACAAGAGAGGCTGGGGAATGTTAAGGTTTTAAGGGCAGGTTACACAAACACTTCGCTGAGCTTGTTTAGACAAAGATGATCCTTCCTTGAGCAAGGGGTTGGACTAGATGGCTTTGTGAGGTCTTCCTACTTCTGTTTTTCTATGATTTGGCAAAACTTCCATAGTCCCTCTCATGTTGCTGCTTGATCTTGCACTGATAATGCTGTTCTTATAGCAACACAGTCATTGTCAAATGAGCAGAACATGAGATAATAAATGAAGGGTTATAATGTCGCTTCAGGATCGAAGCAAAGGAGAAGCTGAGTTGTTGAGAAATGCAAGTTTTGCCAAAAGTTAATAAATCCAGGAACAGCAGTGGAAGTACAGAAAATACCATAATTGCTTTCTGTCTTGAATCGCTGGAGATACTGGCATACAGCCTGACATGCTGCCTTGTTTGCTTCACAATTTCTGGTTAACAGAATGTTAATAATAAGTATTGTTCCTTCAGTTCTTGTGATGTCTATTGTTCTTCATGTGAGAGGCACAGGACTTGACTGGCAGTGCAGGCAGAACGGTGCAGTGCCCCGCCCAGACATGTTCTGGCTTCGTTCTGGCAGGGAACATGTTCTTTAGAAATGGAACTGTTTTTTACTCTCTGTGCTAACACAGCTGTTGGCCTCTCTGCTTAGACTTGTTAACAAGGTGGCCCTTGAGTGGTACTTGTGATGGCACATATGTACACACCTGAGCACCAAGTGGATGCTTGTCCACTAGGACCTGGACTCCATTGCTGCCGGGGATAGGACTGACTGTCAGGAGACCTAGTTCTGCCCTCGGGTCTGGATGCATGTTGGTAAAATCATCTTCATGCTGTGTGTAGGATGATTCCTGCCTTCTCTTCCTCCCTTTCACTCACCCTGGAAACCTGATCTGCAGCTGGTTCACTAGAAATACTACCAATACTATGGTCCTGTTTTTTTCTGTTGGGAATGAAAGGAGGAGATGTTCTGCCCCAGTATGTTGTATATGGATTTTCCGGGTGGGTTTTGAAGAATTTCTCTTAATAGCAGAGAAGTGTTTTGAAACTACACTGTCATTGCCAGCATGTGTTCTTTCATGCCATAATGCTTCTGTTATTCAATACATCTGGCATTAGCTCTGCTGCCTGTTCTGGTCGTGGCATTGGCGCAAGTGTTTAACCAGCGTATTTGCATGGTTCAGTGTTACTCAATGCTGGACAAAAAATCTTGGACAGAATGGTGATGGTATTGAACAGGAAGTATTAGGAAAGAGACCTCTTTTTTTAATCTATAAAGTGTTGGAATTTAGTTTGCATTGCTCTGGCTTCCTGTGTGAGTCATTATGTAGCTCTCAGTGATTTGGAAGGATTTCACTTGAACTTGGAAATTTATACGTTATTCAGTGTCTCCAGCTGGAAGGGACACCGGAGGGAAAGAGAAATGACTTTTCTTTGGTTAACACCAGGACTGGGGCTCTCAACTTGGCCTCTACTCCTGTTTTGCCAGAGACTTCTGCATCAGCTGAGACAAGTGGCTCAAGGCAAGCAGCTTAACCTCACACCAATCAGAAGCATAATGTCTGAATTGAAAAGGGTCAAGAACTCTCTGTTCCATGAAAAGTGTTATCATTTAGACCTCTTGTCCCACAAATATTTATGAAAATAAACTTGGAAGACATGTAAAAATCCTGTGTGAGGGACATTTCCGTATTTAGTCAGGTCTAGCACTGAGCATTTTTTTAAGTGATAGCCACCATGAGGAAAAACACACACTTTGGGCCTGTTATATTTGTTAATTTGGAGGGAATTCAAAAAGTCTCTTGACATTCTATAAAATGAGTTAGGTTGCTTTCCTGTAGTGCAAAAAAACAAAATTACACAGAGGGTTTCAACTAACAAAGAGCCTGTTTTCATGCAGTAATAAATAACAAAGGATGAGGAACAACTGGGAAATGTATGAGAATTGTTTTATTTAAGGGTTTTAGCTGCCTCTGTGTCTTTTTCACCTTCCCCTTTGTCTCTGAATTTCAGCCCTGTTGATGATCTCACTAAAAAACAAATATGCAGCAAAATTGTTTAGCCCAGATGTGCTCAACTTCTGGCCTACAGGCCAGAACCCTGTTTCATCTGGCCCCTGAGGTTCTCCATGGGTCTGGACATTTGGCAGCAGGAAAGCAGAAGCACTGCTCCCCCATCCCCAAATTTCCAGACACATGGGGAGCCGTGGCCTCTGTGTAGTGGTTGGGGAACCTGATCCTAGTCTGCAGGGCTGGGCGGGGATGGTGCTGTGCCCCAGGGCCCAATTCTGGTGTGAGGGGCCAGAAGGAGGGTGGTGCCAGGACCCTGGGATTGAATCCCAGTGCACTGGGATGGGAGAGGGTAGTTCCTGGCCTCCACAGAACAATCCTGGTGTGCAGGGGTAGGAGGGGTGGTGCCAGGCTCTCGGGCCCCCTCCTGGTGCTTGGGCCGAGGTGGGGGCAGTGCTGGGCCCGCAGGCCCAATCCTGGCACTCTGGGCTCAATCCAGCCCATCAACCCACCCTGCCCTACTCATCTGGCTCATGGGGCCAAAAGTTTGAGTGCCCCTGGTTTAGCCAGCTCCATGCAGATCAGAAATAACCAAAATCCGAGAGAGAAGAGAACACTAAATCTCAGTCTGACTGGGCTGAAGCCCTCAGCTGGTGCAAAACAGTGTAAATGGCTTACACCGATTAATGCCACATGAGAATTTGGCCCTTTTTTCTTTAGTCCTAGTCCCAGCTGGGAAAAAGAAATACAGCTCTAATTTGAAAAAGCCTGCTTAAGGTGTCTTTTCTTTCTTCCCCCAGCCCCCATGTAGTGTGATCCATGGGTGTTTTCATAAACGGTCCTGGCTAGGAAGGGAGCAAGAAAGTGTTTCCTCCTTGAGTAACCTCCTGTCAACTCTATTCCAGCTTCCTTCCAACCCAGCTGATGGCCATGATTACTTTTCATGTAGAACAAAAAGGCTACATGGAACTTGTAACCAGAGATGTAGGCTAGAGAGCAATGACCGACAGTAACCCCGATACACTCATGCTGCAAGAAGAACAGGCAGCCTTGCTTTTTTTCCCTTCCTCCCCTTCCAGCTTTCTCATCATAATTCTTCAAGCAGACTGGTGTCCTGCCAAGGCAACACTGAATAACACAAAAGAGAGCTCTGAGTGGCATACATAGAGCAAGGGCCTGTGTTCTTGTGACACGCAGCCTCTACCCCCCCTTCCCCATCAGCTTGGAGGAAGTTATTTGGGTTCTCCTCATCTGTGCCAAGGATCTCTTACAAGCAGACAGGCTAATAAAAAATGAGAAAGCTGCTCTGTGCAATAGCAGCTGCTGCTCCCTCAAGGATGAGAAACACAGCCACGATGGAGTAGGGAGGCTAGGGGCATTATCATCTCTGTAGGGCTCGACCCATGGGCTTTGTTCACTGCCTATACTCATATGTCAGTTGTCTAAGGCCTTCACTGTTTTTTGAGTGGAAGCAAGCGAGGTTATCTACCTCATTGGCTTGGCCTGTGGCTGTCTTTTTCTTACCCTGTTGAGTCTTAATGGTACATTTGGGTCATAGTTTCCAGCTTTTCTCCTGAAACATGAGCTGAGCCTCATGTAATCCCCTGACTCCAGGAACTTGAGATTTCAGGGGGGAAAAGTCCACTCGTGCAAGAGTTCTACAAAAAAAGGGAAATTCACAGAAGTGATGACATTGATTCTGTGATCTGTCTACGTGATGTACTTGTGTCTGCACTTTTTTGTCTTGGCTTAGTCTTCAAGTATCTTGTGATTGATTATTGTTCATAGCTGTATTAGCAATGATTGAACACTTGCATGATAAACTCTAATAAGACTTTCAATGGCATGTGCACCAGTTTAAGCCCAATCCTGCTTAAGACTGCAAAATAGTGTTCGAATGGGACCAGAAACTTGTGCAGGCCTCCTGTGCTACAGCAACTGTCACCCAAAGAGAAAAACTTTTTATTTTGGGAGGTGTCTCACATGCCTGGCAGCAGATTAAATGCACAAGCTGGGCTTTTGTGAGGGTGTTGGAAGACAGTTTTCTTAAAGGTTCTTTTTTTTAAATGAAAACTCAGCAATTTGAATGCTTCCATTAAAGCTGTGTTTCAGAGCATGTAGGCAGCAGCTGCTGTTCTTCCTCTGTGCTCTGGTTTGCATAGTTGCCCTCACCCCTCTCATCTCTTGCTGTTTTAGTCTGAAGAATTCATATTCTTTCTCCTTTAGATAGCCTCTAACCAAGACTCAGTGTTTCTCACCTGACAGGGTTGAAACTCCATGATTTTCTGGTTGACAATGAGACGTTCTCAGACTTCCTCCATCAAAATATGTCCCTGCCACCATTTGCTGTGGATGAGATACTGGATGCTGAGGTCAACCTCCAGCGGGTAAGGAACTCAAGCATCATTTATTGTTTGTATTATCTTAGCTCTTGGGAGCCCTAGTCCTAAGCAGGGACCACATGGTGCAAGGCACTGTAAAAATGCTGACCAAACGATGGTGCCTGCCCTAAAGCGTTTACAGTCCCACTTCAGTTGGCATCCAGTAAGGTTGGATTAGCTGCTGGAAGTCAGGAGATACTCAACTCTGCTCCAGAACTGCTGTGTTGCTGTGAGCAAGTCATTTGAGTTTTCATGCCTCAGCTCCCCATCTACAAAATGGGGTAATGCAGCTTTCTTTCCTGTTTGGATTCATTTCAGTTGAGATTCGTAGGGACAGTAGGTTAAAAGATGTGCATGTAATGAAAAGGCACCATGAGGGAAGACTGGGGCCCTTGACTTGAGAGAGCTGATATGCCTTTTCAAGCAGTGTTACCTCATTTACAGATGGGAGCTGCGGCATAGGCTGTGCACACGTGTTCAGATGATCTGGGAGAATTCTCCCAGGTTTGTTCTGCTGATAGAACTTACCCGGAGACATCAGATTGCACAGTGGGGGACTCTTTCCTCTCCTCTGCTGTTGATCCCTGCATATTGTGTAGTATGGTGACCATCAGCTCTTTCTAGATTTGCCTCTGTGTTGTTATAGTCTGTCTCATTCATATAAATGTCTGATGCGTTTCTGAATTTCATGAAGCCATCTGTCTCAGTAATATACTTTAATAATTAATCATGCAAGTTAATTATATGTTATGTTAAAAAAAAAAACCTTTGTAACTATTTTAAGGACTCTGTCTGCAACTGTAGGGTTTTTTTTTCATCCTGAAACCCAGAATTAAGGAGACATGAATACAAAATAGTCAGAGGACTGCAATGTGTGTATAACCCAGAGTATTAGAGGTGGAGAGGAATGTCCCTCCAAACCTAATAGCTCATCAGGATAGAGAGGTTAAGGCATGCCAGTTTCTTGGCCAACAGCACACAAGAGTGATTTGAATGGCATCCCATACAGATGCTTTTGATGCTCCCCCCATGTTCCCCACCTCCATTACCTTTTACAGCTGTGTCAAATGTGGGCCAGAAACCAGAACAAGGCTTTAACTCGCACCCTTAGAGCTGAAGCATAAGACCTTAACTCCTCTGCCACTGCATCCCAATGGAAGGCAGAGAAACATTTTAAATAGATCAACTCACTGGCATGGTCTTAAACCTTAAACTCAATATGGTAGTCACAAAAGCAGTTGAGAAACAAGATGAGTTATACTTAGCAGTCCAACATATTAGGACTATGCTGGCAACCATGACATTGCTAACTGAGGAACTCCATTACAAGTGGATCATGCCAGTATTGCAGAAATCGTTAAATCTCATATTGGGATCTGGAAATCAAAGTCCAAAATCAGCAGTTCAGTTAAGGTATGCAGTGGGGTTCCAGCTCTTGCTGGCACTCGGGCACTATTATAATGCAAATAGCATCAAATTGAAGTAGACTCCATCCTTCCTGGCAAAAGCCACAGCACAGGACAAGCTACCATGTTTCTGTTTGATTTTGCTGGTGATTCCTGTGAGAGGTCTGGTTTTGCTGCTGAACTTTGACATGGGAGGAGGAAGGCCTGGTTTGAGTTTTGACTTTGATGGAGTAATGGAGAATCTGTGCAGCTCCCCTTGCAAACTCATGTCCCCATCCCTGACATCCGTCTAGGGACTGTTGCTCTGTACCCATGTATGAGACCTGGGGTTATTCCCAAACTCTGCACTCTCTCACCAGGAGTGCCAAAGAAATATTACAATTTACTTAATATTTATTATGTCAAAAGTTTTGTGCACCCATTTGTGCTAGACACTGTGCATATATACCCAAAAAAAAAAAAAAAAAGGGATCCTAACCCCAATGATCCCAGTCTAATCAGGTGTCTGGGGGAAAGGTGACACTGCTTCATGTCACTGTATAGCAACTCTACTAGCTTTGAACTGTGGGATTTTCTTGCTTTTACCTGCCTGGGTGTGCAGATCCTAGAACAAATCTCCCAATTTGATTTTTATATGCAAGGCTTATTCAGCTGGAAAGAATGGCGTGACTAGGGAGCATCCAGCAAAGTGCCTTGAGTCTTGTTTTTCAGCAACCATCCCAACATCTACAAAATGGAGCGTGAGATTTTAAGTATTCTGAGAGATGATCCTGTCATTTATAATTTATGCTCCTGTTGAAGTCACCACCATTTCAAGCAGTTCAGAATTTTCATACGGTTGGGGGTCTTTTAGGGAGGCGATGGGCAGTCAGGGCTTCTTGTGTTGTTATTTTAGAGAAATGTTTATGTAGCTATTATTTGTCTTATATTAGTACTGGGAAGATGCAACTGAGATTGGGAACGTATTGTTCTAAGACCAGTATGGGGTAAGAAACAGTCTCTGCCCCAAAGAGCTTACTGGAGCAAACAAGGTGGTCACAAGGTAGAAGAAAGGAGTGTTAATCCTCATTTTACAGATAGATATCTGAGAGATAGAGAGATGAACTGATTTACCCTGAGTCTAGGAGTCCTTTGTCTAAGCTAGAAACTGAGGCCTGGCCTCCCAGTCCAGTGCTTTAGCAGCAATACCATTATTCTCTGTTTCTGGTGTGGTGGCAATGCTCACCCTACTGATTTATTATTAAGGGGTCATCATGTATAAATGGCAAATGTCCTCCATTTATTCAGCAGGCTGCTGAGGTTGGATCCTTCTTCTTTTACAGAGGTGGACTAAAGACTTTTGCACTTTAAAGCTTTGTCCCTCCTACCAGCTCCATATACATACTTTCTGGAACTGGCATTTGGGTGCTTGACACACTTTTATCCTTGAAAAATATTAGAGCAATCTTACTCTGTTGGCTCAACAGGTATGACCTAGGCTGATGTCTGGTCCAAGCCTGACAGTCATTACAGACCAAACAAAAAAACCCAACAAGCTGAGAAAGAGAGATGCACAAAGCAAAACAACACCCTTCCCTCCCTGCCCTCTGGTAAAGTCATGGAGCTTCTCTTGTTTATTACCCTTTTACCATCCTATATCCAGAGGCCTCAAATCCCAGAATGACCTATCAAAGAGACATAATATTAACTCAGCAAGAGTCCCAGGCATGAAATGATTACTCAGAGGTTTCTTTGCATGTCTTCATGGACACGAATGAAGCCTTAACTTGAAGTGAAAGATCTGTGGGCAGCTGACAGGGAGCTGATCGTGTGTCCATTGGAGACAATGGCAGGTCTCCGTTGATTTTAGTGGCACTGGATTAGTTCCAAAACTGCAAAATTACAAATGCTAGCCTGTGGCTGCTTGTCTGTGAGAGGGGGGGGGGGAGATAACACTCCCATCTTGTATATATTTGTTAATTGGGAAGGAAGCACCAATGGGACTGTCTGACACTACAAACAAAGCTGTAATTCCCTCTCACACATGTATGAGTAGGTACTCAAATTCAGTGAGAGCCTTTCCATTAACTCAGAAAGCAGAGATCACAAGTTCTTCACTCTCTCAACTCCCTTTGGCAGGCCTATGTGTGAAGCAAGAAGAATCTGGTGCCATATGGTTG